TGCTGCATCAGTACTGCTCCGACTGCTTGGTCACTAGCGTCTGCTTCCACCACGTAGTCTCTGTCTGGATCCGGTAGGATGAGTACTGGTGCTGTAGTCAGTGCTGTCTGTTTGTTCAGTGCGCGGTAGTCGATGCACATCCGTAAACTACCGTCTGGCTTTGGAGTGAAGAGAACCGGTGCGCCGTAGGGAGAGGTGGATGGGCGGATCAGTTGTCTGTCCAGTAGATACTCAATCTGCTTCTTCATGTCTGTCAGTTCAGTCGGACTCAGTCGGTATGGTGCACGTGAGATGGGTTTCGCACCTGGTTCCTCCACGATCTCGTGCTCGTGGGTGCGCGCTGGAGATACGCATGTGGGTAGGTCGTCGGCCATTATATCCTTGTACTGCTCCAAGACCTCCTCCTCTGCTGCTGCTATAACCAGTGCTAAGTAACCCGTGTTACTTTCGTTCACTGTCCGTTCGAACCGTGCCAGTGTCGTTTCAGGAACGCTCCCTGTATCCGTCAAGCTTCGCAGCTCCACTTGTTTCCCGTTGTTGTAGATGCACGTTTTCCGGTTGACCCAGTCGATCTTGGGGTTGAACCGCTTAAGGAAATCTTGCCCCAAGATGAAATCTAGTCCCTTGATGTTCGTGATCGCCAACGTCGGCTTCCACCTCAACGCCCCTATCTGCAGCTGCAGTGTTGACTTTCCGTGGATGGGAAGCTTCGTACCGTCCACCATCGTTGCTGTAAACTGGATTTCTTCTTAGGATTCTCCAATTTTCTCCAACGTCCCGCGGTCGCACACCGAGTGGGACGCACCACTGTCCACCAGGGTCTGGAGGCGACGCCCGTTGCAGATCACCTCGAGTATTAGTGGTTGCTGCTGCTCCGAGTATCCGTAGATGGTATCGCTTATAGGATCGTAGGGTACGTCGAATATGTTATCCCTAGGTCCTGCGCTCAAAGATGCAGCTTCAGTATCAGTTTTCAACTGAGAAAGGTTAGAAGGATTTATCCGAGGCCGATTCGGCTTCTCTTGGGCCTGGAACCTTCCACTAAGCCTTTGCAGCTGTGTAGGCTTCATCTGTGGGGAACAGGGAGCCTTTAAACAGTGCTGCTGGGAGAGAATATTAACTCCTCGGAACGCTCGACCCGTGTTAGCGCTCTGGAGTAGGGTCCCCATAATACCCGGTACCGGTTTAATTTCTGACTCTCCCTTAATAAAGGCTTGAAACCCACGAGAAGTAATATTCTTACTTGTTGGGGTATACGGTTGGAGTTGCCCAGTCGGTGCAGGGTCTTGTTTCGCGGATCCTCCATTAGTCTCGGCGTTTTCCCCTGGTGCCGGCTGGTCGTGGCGTTTTAAATTTGCGCCACCATATTCTCCTTTTTTCGCCCTCTCCGAAGTTGCCACGTTGTCCGTTTTCTGCTTCGGGGGTGCCGCACTGTTCTTGTCCTTCAGCTCCGCACACCTTCTCTTCATTTTCCAACACGCCAAGATACGATGTCCTGTAGCGCCGCAAAATTTGCACGTCTCATTATTTGCTAGCCGCTGCTCCACATCGCCCTTGTCGTTCTCCATCGGGTCGGCAGTCGTGGGTGGTGCCAATCGCCCCATGCCACTAGTTGGCTTGTTGCGTCGTGTTCCGTAGTAGCTACTGTTCAACGTGTCGAACTGTTCGATTAGTGCTGCCGGAACTTGCGCCCACGTCCCCTCGCCTTGGACTATTCTGTTGTTGATCCACTCTAGAGCTGGGCCTCGTAACAGTGTTGCTGCGAGCCGTATGCGCATTGCGTCTTTTGTCGGGGTCGTGCATCTAACGGCTTCGAAGTAAATTTCGAGTTCAGCTACAAATCGACGAACGTCGTTCCTTTTTACTGTAGGATCGAACGCCTCCGGTAGCCTCAGCTTCACTGCTTCGAGGTTAACTGTAGCTGCTGCCGTTGTCGCATGTAGAATTGTCGGTGTTGCCGCTGCTGTTGCTCCTACTGTTGTCGCTGCTGCTGTGGCGGTTGCCGACTGGTTCGCAAGGAGTTTTTCGAGTCGTGGGAGCGCTGCACGTATCTGCTTACGCTCAGCACGTAACTCCGCGATTTTCTGTACTGAAATATCTCCTTTTCCCTCCATTTGGCGATTTACAGGAAGATGCGCGACGAAAAAAAATCAAATTCTAGGTGCTGGTCGACTTACTGCGAGTCAAATTGACAGTAGAATCGACGAGCGCAAATTCTGTAGGTTGCGTAAATCTCCCTTAAGCAAAATTCGCGTCCGATCTTGGCCGTTGAGGAGAAAATCGATCCGACGCTCCAAATTCCAACTTTTTTAGGCGAAATTCTCTGGGCCGTTGAGATGAAACTCGATCGAACGGTCGAAACTCCAACCTTTCCACCAGTAAATATGAGGGAGTTCGAAAACCGAATCGAGGGGGACTTAGAAAAATTGCGCGGAACTGGTTTTACATACCCGTATCGGCGCTTTCGTCGTCGCCCCCGCGGTTTTTAAAGGCCGGAACTAAGCGGTTGAAGACCTCGCGTGTAAACCCGCTCTGATTACCAAGTGTGAGGATCTGGGATCGAGCTCAGAAAAGATGATTCAAATTGAATTGAATGATCACCTGGGTACAACACGAGGCTATATATAGGCTCGACACAAGGCCCCGTAACCAGGTGTTACGCGAAGGTTCCGCGGGTCGCGAAGCGTCCCGAACAGATCCTTACTGAATTCGGTAGAAGGCAATTCGGTGGCAACCGAAAAGCCAGAATTCGGTGCACGCAACCTAGCTCGGTGCTATAACTATAAAAAAATATAGGAAAGCACCTAGCCTAGGAAATCAAGCAATTCATTCATGCATATAATTATCCTATGCTAGAAATAGCATGATAAAAGTAGAGGCAAGCAAGCATAGCTGGCATAAGCCGTCGTACTCTCACAGCCTGCACCACAGACATCGCAACATGGAAGCGTGGGGCAGCCCGCGAGCACGGCCAGTGATGGCGTCTTCCGCCACGAGCGAGACGACGACCACGGCACGACACACCCGGACGAGACAAACGCGGCCAGAAGTCAGCCTCGAGTCACAGTTTCTGTGCCAGCCGGCGAATCAACACTACCGTCGCCGATGCCGCTGAAGCCGCAGCGTCCGCCATGCTTTGAACCGAGTCAGCGGGATAGTCTATCGTTTAGGCGTGGCTCTTCACGTTGAACGTCTTCTTCGACGCGAACTACGTCTCGGAGGATACGGCGAAGATTCGCTACGACGTGTCGTTGCTGCGAGGACCCGCCATGGACTGGTGGCATGTCATCGTCACGAAGCCGGTGAACTACACGACTCTACCAACACGGGAAGGACAAACCGGACCCTGGGCGCCGTCGTACTTCGTGGAGGTGCCCCAGTATCGCACGTGGGACGCGTGGTGCGCAGGACTGCACGCTCGTTTCGAGCCAATTGCGGCCTCGATCGCGGCGCGACAGAAGCTCTGCACTTGGCGCCAACTCGGTTCCGTCCAGGACTACACGAGCGGGTTTCTGGCGCTATGCGAGCATATGGGTTACATGCACGAGAGCGAGCGCATCGACCGCTACATCGGCGGCCTGAAGCAGGACATCGCTCAGGAAATCCAGCTTCGCGGCGTCACCGACTTTCAAGAAATTCTCGCTATGGCGGAGAAACTTGACTTCTTCCGCCGACTGAGACCGGGGTCCTATGGAAGCAGCAACTGTGGACATCGGTCTTGTAGGACGAACGTGTCAGAATGAAGAAGTGTTTGCACTAGGAAAGTGGTGGGTACAAGTAGGAAACCCTAAACTTACTGTACCGTATAGTAACTACCCCACTACAGCCTAAACAAACTGTAGAGTATAAGTTTGACACGCCCCCATAGGCAAGGTGGGGGAGAGCAAAGAGGGGGTCACAAGACCAGTCAAGAGAAGCAAAGCAAGATCAGGGTGGATCACAACGTCACCACACAATCTGAGCGCAAGCAGACGGCCACAAGGCCAGTTCACATGCACAGTTATATAGCACAGAACAAACAGGACAGTGATCAAAACCTAGCAAGTGAAAGCATGCAGGTACAGATATATAGATCACAGTACAAGCAAAGTCAAGAAGTGAGCAGGTGAGGCAAGGTAGGCACAAGGCCTAGAATAGTACAGAAACGGTGATGATCACAAGGCGGAAGTGCCTTGGCGAAGATATCAGCAGTGTTGGCCCGAGAGGCCACGTAAGCAAGACGAAGTTGACCGCGCTGCTGCAGCTCTCGAGATAGAAAGTAGCGAAGGTCAATGTGCTTCGTTCTGTGCTCCAGTCTGTGCTCCTGACACAAGGCTATCATGGCCTTGTTGTCAACGTACAGACCTGGAGGAGAACGAGGCTCCTCTCCCAAGTCAGTCAGCAGGTAGGTGAGCTAGCATAGCTCCTGTGCAGCCATGGCTCCAGCGTAGATCTCAGCCTCACAGCTGGTGCTGAGAACAGAAGACAAGCGAGTAGACTGCCACGAAACATAACCGGAGCCAAGGCTGAAGGTGTAACCCTGTGACGACCGCTGCGTAGCCAAGTCGTCAACCCAAGAAACGTCTGCGTGACCAGTGAGAACAACTCGAGCCCGTCCTCCAAGCACTAGCCCTATGCTCGACGTACTGCACAGGTAGCGCAACACCCTCTTCGCTGTAGCCATGTGCTCTGATCGGTGTCTCCAAGGAGCAACATAGCGTGCCAAGATGCTGAGAGGGTATGCCAAGTCAGGTCGAGTGGAGGTCATCAGGTACATGAGGCAGCCAACAAGCTCTGCAAACGGGCCACTCGGCTCTACGGACTCATCCGAAGGCAGAGCTGAGAGCGAGTGGCTAGTAGACAGAAGAGTGGCATGAGGCGAGGAGTACGTGAAGTTGAAGCGCTGAAGGACCTGTTGCACCATGTGTGACTGAGTCAAGGTATTGGTGCGCTGTGCTCTGTCCCATCTGCAAGCCAAGATAGCTGCGCAGTTCACCCATGTTTGTGCACGTGTGTCTCTTCTACAGCTCCGACTTCACGTGGGTGAGTCCCTCAGTGTCAGCAGTGGCAAAGACCAAGTCGTCGATGCACACGAGGATGTAGAACGACGGCAGCGAAGTGTCGGTGCGTAGAAACAGCGACGGGTCAGCAGTGGAAGTAGCAAACCCAAGAGCCGCAGGCGTAGTCCTCAGTGTGTCGTGCCACTCATGGGGCGCCTGGCGGAGACCGTAGACTGGCCGCCTGAGGCTCCACTGGGTACCAGGAGGAAACGACCCAGTGAAGCGAGGAGGGCGGCGCAGCCAGATCTCCTCGTGCAGTTTGCCCTGTAGGAAAGCAGTGCTGAAGTCAAGAGAGTGAAGCTCGTAGTCACGCTGAGTAGCGACGTGCAGCAGAACCCGAAGAGTGGTCATCTTCGGGGTCGGGGAGAAGGTCTGGAAGAAGTCAACTCCCTGTCGCTGACTGAAGCCTCAAGCAACGTAACGTGCCTTGAAGTCAGGCGGAGAACCCGGCGGCCGCTTCACCCTGAAAATCCACATGCCAATGAGGATGTTCGCCTCAGGAGGGGGAACCTCGTCGACGTAGGTGCATGTGGACTTCCAGGATGCCATCTCTGCGTCCATGGCTGACTACCACTGAGAGGAGTAGGGACCCTCTATCGCCTCTGCGTTAGAGCGCGGGGTCGGGATGTCTGGTGCATCCGGGTCTCCCTCAGGTGCAATCAGCTTGGACACGAGATGAGGTACGTCAGCTGCAAAGCACTCAAATTCCTCCTGCCTGTCCTCAACGACGTCCGTGCCAAGAGCACACTCACCCCCAACGGACGGAGGACAGACAGACTCAGACTCAGCAACAAGACTCGCGGCGTAGTCTAGACGACAGTGAGCAGCAAAGTCGACAAGCTCAGAAACTAAGGCAGACGCAGTAGTGGACTCAAAGGAAGGGTCGGCGACAACAGTGGCTAGGAGACGCGTGACAATAGGACTAGCAGCACGAAGGGAGTCAGACTCCGGGTCAGCTAGTGCAGGAAGAGAGGACGTAGGAGGAGACGGCAGAGGGACCCGCTGTGGAGTAGTGGAAGGACGAAGCGCCATCCGGTGCATGCCTGGGAGAGCAGGAAGACGTTGACGTGGAACACGACGACCAGTGCGAGCAGCACGGATAGGCGACGCAGGACGTGACTCAGGCTCACGACGCTCAGTAAGACCTCTGGTTGGACCAGTGTAAGGAGAGGGAGTAATCAGCGGGGACGTAGGCTGTAACAGTGACTGTGACTGGACAGACGGTGGACACTCTAAGGAAGGGGCAGGACCAATAGAAGGCGGGAGACCATGAACTTGCTGAAGGAGCGGAACAAAGTACGGCTGCGGCCGTACAGCGCCCCCAGAACCAGCAGAGACAGCACCAGCACCCCCAGCACCGGCTCCAACTCCCGCAGCACCTCCAGCAGCTCTAGTAGCGCCAACTCCAGTACCCCCAGGAGCACCCGCACAAGCAGCACCGTCAGCTCCACCACCTCCAGTAGGATGAGCGGCAGCGCCTCCAGTCCAGCCCCTACAGTACCACTAGCCCCAACACCTCGAACGGCTCCAGCAGCACCTCTAGCGCCAACCCCAGGGTCGGCAGCGACACCAGCAATAGTAGCTCCAGCGCCCTCATCTCCAGCCCCACGAGCACCCCCAGCTCCCACAGCACCACGTCTGCAGCGACAGTGCTGAGAGTACCACTCACGCAGCTGCTGGGACGAGAGAGCGCCCCCAGGCGCAGGACCCCCAGTCTCCGCACCTCCAGGCTCAGCACCCCCAGGCTCCACACCCCCAGGCTCCGCACCCCCAGGCTCAGCACCCCCAGGCTCCGCACCCCCACGCTCCACACCCCCAGGCTCAGCACCCCCAGGCTCCGCACCCCCAGGCCCCGCACCCGCAGGCTCCGCACCCTCAGGTTCAGCACCCCCAGTCTCAGCACCCCCAGTCTCAGCACCTCCAGGCGCAGCACGCTCAGGCTCAGTACCTCGCGCAGGACCAGTGTCGACAGCTACCTCGACAGGCTCGACTGGGTCTACCTAGGACACACCTGAGGGAGCAGGACCCTGGGGAGGTAGGGGGTCTACCGAAGCAGCACCTGGCGTGAGGAAGAGCGGCGGAGGGGGGAGCGGGGCAGTGTGGTAGGGGAAGAGACGGTAAAAGGGGACCGACTCGTCAAACGTGACATCCTGAGAGGACAGAACACGGCGCGAGGTGGGGTGGTAAAACTGCCAACCAGGCGCGCCAGGGGGGAAGCCGAGGAAGACGCAGGGAACTGCGCGGGAGGAGAGATGTCCGCGGTGGTATCACGGACAAAGGCACGAGATCCCCAGACCTGGAAGACGGACGCATCGCCAACCTCTCCCGTCCAACGCAGTGTCGGCGAGGTCTCCGGAACGGAGACACGGGGCCAGAGGTTGAGCTGATGCGCGGCGTACCGGACCGCAAACGGCCACAGAAAATTGGGGGGCAGCCGCATGGATCAAGGAGGTACGAGCGACCTCCATGACTAAGCCAATGCGGCGCTCAACAACCCCATTTTTCTGTGGAGAGGCCGGAAGCGTGAACGTCTGCTCAATGCCCTCCCCCTGACAGAAGGCCCTCAAGAGGCCGGAAGAAAACTCACCACCTCTGTCATAGTGCAGTTGCAGGATGGGAAGGTCCGTGTGAAAGCGCCTCTCCAGCAGGAGACGGGTAGCGCGGATCCAAGGGATCAGGACATCAGGGTCCTCACCCTTGGTGCGCAAGGGGAAGACCGTGGTGTAACGCGTGTAGTCGTCAACTACCAGCAGAAAGTAGTGCTCTCCGCCCTGTCCACGGACGTGGGCTGGGCCCCACACGTCCATGTGAAGGGTCTGCAGAGGAGCCTCCGCCGGGCGGAACTAAGAGGAGTGGGGGGTAACACGCTGCCGCCCCTCGACACAGGGAAGGCAAGGAGGGGCAGGGGACTGTGGTAGGGGAGGTAGTGACCTGGGGAGACTAGAGACAAGGTACCGGGAGTGCATGCCACGAAGGTGCTGCATCGAAGGGTGACCAAGGCGGTGATGCCAGAGGACCGTCCGGTGCGACAAGGTGCGACATGAGCAGGGGCGGACAACTGACTTGACGCTGACGCTGACGCAGCTACTTGAGGGGACTCAGTGGTCAGTGTGTACAAGTCCGACCCCGGCTGCCGAGTGAAGGTAGCCAGGTGGCGACCCGTCTGAGCACACGTGCAGTGTGTCACACGCTCGTAGGCAGGGGTGAACTGGTGAACACCCGCGTCCTGGAGCGCGGACCCCGCCACCAAGTTCGTAGAGAACGAGGGGAGGTAAAGACCAGACAGCGTGCCGGACGGGACAGCAGGACAAGGGAGGGCAGTGGTGGAGGTCGCAAGGACCGGACCCCCAGAGGGTCAGCCAGGGAGACAGCAACAGGCCTGGGGAGCTGCGCTAGAGCAGTGCGGTCCCAAAAGAAACAACGAGAAGCACTTGAGTCCAGCGTGAAGGTGTGCAGTGCCTCAGTAGACACAGTACCTGAAGGCGCAAACGCACAAGCACCTGAAGCAGCAGACTCACCAGCACCTAGAGCAGAAGCCTCACCAGGACTTGGGCCAGCAGACGCACTAGCACCTAGAGCGGCAGCCTCACTGGACGCAATGCCCGGGTCGGGCGGGACACGCAGGTAAGAGTCACCCTCAACACTAGTAGACAATGCATACATAGCACCAAGGATAACATCAAAGTCAAGAGCAAAGATATCAATGTTCTTTTTAAGCAGATCAGCCCAGCGGGGGAGCTCAGAGGCGTCAGGGAACTGTGCACGCCAGGCGTCGTCAAGACAGTAGAAGCAGCGCTGCTGCGTGTGGGGCCGCCCACACGTCTCACCAGTGCGGTCACCTGTGCAGATGACATACGGGCAGGTACCTCCACCCCCAGACCCCCCATGCTGAGAGTACCACTCACGAAGCTGCTGGGGCGTCGGGGTCTCTCCTAGACGCTGCTGCTGGCTCTGGACACCACCCGAACCTCCACGCTGCGCTGGTCCACCCCGACCACCACCCTAGCCGCCGCCACCACGCCCGCTGCCGCCACCACCACCGCCTCCACCCCGGCCCCCTCCACCACCACTGCCACCACCACTCCCGCCGCTGCCACTGACCAACCCCAACCCCGCCACCACCCCCACCACCGCCACCACCCCCACCGCCCCCACCGCCTCCACCACCACCTCCACCTCCCCCGCTATCACCGCCACCACCCTTGCCCCCCTTGCCCCTGCCGCCCTTGCGCCTCCCTCTAGAAGCAGACGCAGCCCCGACTTCCTCAGCACCAAGGTAGTCGACAGCGGCAGCAGAGGCGACCGAGGGGAGAAGGGGGGGAGGGGAACACCCGTCAAAGAAGGGCGTGCAGGGGTCGCCACGAGAGGCACCTACAGCGACTATGCTAGCCTCAGCTGCAAGCAGGTGCTTCTCGAGTAGGTCAATGGTGAGGTTGGTGGGGCAGAGGGCGAGAAAGTGGTCCCTGACAGCGCGAAGGGAGTCAGGGAGACGGGTGACTAGGTGGTAGAGAACGAGGTACATTGGGGGAGGATTCTTGGCTAGAAAATCAGCAGGAAGGGCGGCTCGGTAGCGAGTGTCACTAGTGCGGAGGTGAGTAATGAGTTCAGCGACTGTGGGAAAGGCGGCCAGATCGGGGAAAATATAGGGCAGCGAGAGACGGCCGATCGTAGCAGAGGCAGGTGAGGAGTAGCGCGTTACTACAGCATCGTACAGTGCCATAGCAGTCTTTTGCTGGCCAAAATGCGCGCGCTCATCTAGCGGTAGGTGGCTGCGAATGGCTAGGCGAGCGTGAGCGTCACGAGTCTGCCACTGGGAGCGAGCAGTACTGTCAGCAGTCTCAGCAGGAGCAGGAGCGGTTCCGGACGCGTGATCATACAGTGAGATATCGTCCTTAGCAGTGATCTGTAGCAACAGGTGCAGGTCGTCGAGCCAAGCGTCAAACTGAACCGGGCGGCTCTCAGCATCGAAAGAGAGAATGGTGGGAGTAGCCATGGTGGCTGCAGTAGCAGTAGCAGCAGTAGCAGTATCAGCACTAGCAGTAGCAGCTGTAGGAGTAAGAATAGTTGTAACATCAGGAACAGAAGCAGCACTTGCTGCAGGTGGGGTGGCGCGGCTCGATAAGGGCGGCGCGGCGCGGCTCAGGCAGGGCGGCGCGGCGCGGCTCGGACAAGGCTACGTGGCGCGGCTCGGACGGGCAGGGCAGCGCGACGGTGGGCCTGCGTGTAGGCCGCTGTTGCGTACGGGCCGTGGCTGCATGTGGGCTGCAGTCGCGCGCAGGCGGCGGCCTACTAAGGCGACGCGGCGGCCTACGAGCGGGGCTGCGGCACGCTTGACGGCCAGCAGGGCCGATCGTCGGCCGGCTAACGGGCTGCTCGTGGGCGGCGCTGGTCGCGCGGGCGGCTAACAGTCGACGCGCGCACGACTCGGGCTGCGGACGGGTGGCTAGCGTGTTGTGCGCGCTAGAAAAACAAAGCCGCGCGCGGGGCGGCTAGCGGGCTACGCACGGGCAGCTTGAGAGAGAGAGGCGCGCGAGGGCGCACTGGCAGAGAGGCGCACGAGGGCGCTAAGGCGATAGGGCGCTCGAGAGCGCTTCTAGCGGAAAGGTGGGCCCTTAGGACTAAGCGGTCCTAGGTTCCTAACCTAGGCTCGTAATACCATGTCAGAATGAAGAAGTGTTTGCACTAGGAAAGTGGTGGGTACAAGTAGGAAACCCTAAACTTACTGTACCCCATAGTAACTACCCCACTACAGCCTAAACAAACTGTAGAGTATAAGTTTGACAGAACGAGGGCGCTACGATATGTGCCGTCGCCGCGAATGGTGCTGCCGCACCATTCAAAGGGCGCTGCTTTGCGTGCAATTGTCCAGGACACCGTAAGAACGAATGCCCGGAAAACGCTAAGGGAAAGGGGGAAGCTGAGCAGCAGAAACAGACCAAGCGGCAGGGAAACGCTGGGAGTCAATAGCAGACGGGCCCTCTACTAGCAGGTCACGCCGCTCGCCCGACCCAACCGACCCTCACCGAGTGATTGTGCCGGTTCACGCAATCGACCACACCCGGCCGAATAAGGAGGGTACAACGGTAGACAGCCCCATACTGCTTAGTGGGAAAATCGGGACCGACTTAGTTAAAATCTTCATAGACGGGGGAACCAGCCACAACCTTATCAACACTGCCACATCACAGAAACTGAGACTGCCATTGGACAGGCGCTTACCTGAGATCGACGCAAGACTGGTCGACGGCACGCCACTGGCGATACGGGAACGTGTAGACCGGGTTCGGATTCGATGCGGGGGTAACTTCACGTTAGCCAGGAAATGCTCGCCACAACCCTCGACGGAACCGACATTTTACTCGGTCGTGATTGGCTGCGACGACACAATCCGCGAATCGACTGGACGACGGGTGACTGCACCGTGCGAGTGAACGGTAACAACATCGCCTTACCTCGCTGGGGCTCGCCTGAGCCTTCGTCAGTACGTGTCAACGCAATCATGATGAAACGCGCCATAGCGGCAGGAGCTGACGTGTACGCGGTTGACATTTGGGAAGCCGGGGTAGCAGACAAAGGGGGTGATTTACAGAAACTGCTAGCCGATGTACCGGATGATCTGTCAACACTACTGAAGCAGTACAGTGATATTTCCCGGGACGATCTGCCGACGGGACTGGCCACCTCAGCGACCGCACGACCACAGGATAGGACTACAACCGGGGGCACACCCGACAGTACAGCGACAATTCCGACTGACCCAACCCGAACTGGACGAACTGAGAAAGCAGCTGGATTACCTGCTCGAAAAAGGCCCGAGTTCGTCACCCTTCGCAGCACCGATACTGTGCACGCCGAAGAAGGACGGGGGTTTTCGCATGTGCATAGACCACAGGGCACTGAACAAGGTTACCATTAAATCCCGTTACCCCATTCCGTGAGCCGACGAACTGGTCGACCAACTACGCACAGCTCGGGTTTTCTAAAAAATCGACCTTATGGGAGGTTACCACCAGATTCGCGTCAACCCACCCGACTGCCCCAAGACTGCCTTCCAAACATGCTACGGGTCGTTCGAATACACCGTCATGCCCTTCGGACTGACCAACGCCCCCGCCACTTTTCAAAGACCATGAACGAAGCCTTCCGCCCGCTTTTAGATAAGTGCGTCATCGTGTACCTTGACGACATACTGATTTACAGCCCCGACAGAGCACATCACGTTTATGACATCGAAGCAGTTTTTAAGATACTGAGTGAGAACTGCCTACTAACCAAAGCGTCTAGTGTGAGTTTTGTCAGAATGTTATATTTGTTATCTAGCCTGCAGTGGGGTACTCTATAGCGACTATAACCCCTTAGGGTTTCATATTTGTATGCCCTTGCTTGCTAGTACAAACCCTCTTTTGCCTAACTTCTTTCTTGCCTAGCTAGGGTATTCCTAGCTATGGCTTCTTCGATTACCTACCTATCTTCACATGGTATCAGAGCAGTAAGCTCCTGGCCTGTGTGCCTAACCACGAACCTTCCGCTGCAACTATTCCTTTCCTTTCCGTTGTGCGTCCCGAGGCGCGCGGGCGATTTTTCTACCTACCGTGCGCCCCGGGGCGCGCGGCGTTTCTCTTCCCGCCGTGCGCCCCGAGGCGCGCGGCGGGTTGCTGCCCCGTCACGCCATGCGCCGCCCCTGGGAGACGCTGTGACGGGTGACGGGGACCTCCGCGTCGCCCCCCGTCGCCCGTCGTGGCCTCTGTGCGGCCCGTACAGGCAGCGCGCGACCCGTACGGGCTGCGCCAGACCCACGCGCTGCCTGTACGGGCTGCGCCAGGCTCGCGCGCGGCCCGTACGGGCTGCGCCAGGCCCGCGCGCGGCTCGTACGGGCTGCACCAGGCCGTCGCGCTGCCGTACAAGAGGCGCCCGACCCGCGCGCGGCTCAAGGCCGCATGCACGCGGCTCGGGCGTCCCTACCAGGCCCGTGGTGGGCCCATTTCTTACCTTCCCTGCCCTCCCCGCTGTTCCCAGTCCCTCTACTACCGCCCCACCCATCCTACTCCCCATTCACCTATATTAGGGTGTGGGGGTGAGGGGTATGGGGGTGACCCTCCTCAGTACCGCTCCCTGCTCCTCCTCCTCCTCCTCAGTCTCCTTGTGCTGCAGCTGCCGCTGAGGGGGGGGGGGTGATTGTGGTGGAGTCGGTGGAGTGATACTAAGGGGGGGTGAAGGGGAAGGAGAGCTAGCGGTGTAGCAGTGGGTGTGTGCCAGGGGGAGTAGGACAGTTTGGGGAAGCGTGAATGGAGGATGCCGATGTGACGCTAGCAGCACCTGTAGTCCGGGGACTTCGTCCGGTAGCCCAGTTGTAGCCAGCTGTGCCAGCCGCCCGTGGGTCCGTTGCTCGTCTGCCGCTACTTTAGCCGCGGGGCCAGTTACTCCTGTAGTCCGGGGGCTTCGTCCGTAGCCGCTGTGCCAGTCTGCCTCCTGTTGCCCGTGTGTCTGCAGCTTCATCCGTCGCCTCCTATCTCCTTTCCTCTCACTCTCTCTCTCCTCCGCCTCACTTGCCCGTTGTGACTACCTCTAGCTTTGCTTATAACTGTGAACTTTATACTACTGCTGCTTGAACTTGTGCTCAGACTGTGTGGTGACATTGTGATCCACCTGAGCTTGTTCTGTTT